TGCATGCTTACTCATGTGGTCGGCATGGCCTAATTCTGCCCGCAGCATCTTCTTTGAGACGGAGATCAACTTTGGCTCCGAGGGTGGACTTTATGCTGAACTGATTTGCAACCGCGACTTTGAAACCCAAGGCGAGTCCATCCACCTCTCGCGCCCGGCTTCCTGGTATTGCCAGTGAGGGATCCAAACATGCTGCCAATGTCGTTGCCCGTTGCTTGAGTCTGGTCCATTTCGACTGACAGCCTGCCAGCCAAATGATTGGAGATCAGTCCCTCTTGTTGATGTTTTATTTTTTGTTGATTTCTTTGATGTTTTTTTTTTTTTTTTACTGTCGACATCAGGACTGTCTAAGGACAGGACTGTCTAAGAACGCATTTGATCCGCTTTTGCCTCGATCTCTCTCCTATATGGATGGCGAGTGGGACGTGGTTGTTGGTGGTGGGTCATGGCAAGACGCGGGCTCACCTGTGGGTTTTTCGGTCTGGTCCCAACTGTGTGTAGGTCGCGGTACCATTCCCACGAGCAAGGGGCGTGTTCATCTGGCACGCGAGGAACCGTCCCACCAAAAAAACCGCAAAGACCAGGCTGGCCAACTCCGGTACGGTGTCCTGCCTGGCCTACGTTTGCAAAGTTTTGGCTGATCCGACTCGGTCACGCATCTCATCCTGTCTGTGTTGATTGATGTCTTGGTTCCCCGGGCGCTGTCGTGGTGCGAGCAGCGACATCCCAGACCCCGATGCGACCGATTTCCGTCCCTGGTACGGTGTTGGCCTGGCCACCCTGAGCCTGACCGACAGCACGCAGCCCTTTTCCAGCAACCCGATGGTGATGCAGCTACAGGCCGATGCGCCCAACTCGGGCATTGGCAATGATGGTGAGACTGACGGCTCCGACTGGCTATTGTCTGAAAATGTCAGCTCATGGTGTCGCACTATTACCGGTCAACTCAGGCTACTGGGCAATCTCAGCGCGCCCTGGTGTTGGCTTTAATCTTACGTTCTGGGCCAAGAGCTCTCAACAGCTGGCCTTGCAGGCCCAGCTTCGCGATCGCGCCTCAAGCCAGGTCGTGGCCTCTGCCGGCTTGGTCACCTTGACAAGCCAAGTCAACAGCTGGACCCGTTACGAAGTGTCCATTCCGGCTGCGGCGAGCTTCGTGCCAGCCGTCAGCTTTGAGCTTGTTGTGGCCAACGGGTCGGGCACCGTCTTGTTGGACCACGTGTCTCTGATCCCGCAGGACGCCATTTACGGTCTTTTCCGCGCTGATCTGGCCAACGTTCTTCATGGTCTCAAGCCTGGCTTTGTCCGTTTGCCTGGTGGCAATTACCTCGAAGGATATACTGTGGACACGCGCTGGAACTGGAAGAATGCCCTGGGCAACCGCGAAAACCGCTCCGGCCATTTTAACTCTGCTTGGGGCTACTGGGTCACGGATGGCATGGGTCTGTATGAGTTGATGCTCCTGGTGGAGTTCCTTGAGAGCCAACCTCAAGTCTCCATCTACACGGGTAAGTCGCATGTCTCGCCAAAGGGCAGCTGCGCTGCGCGCTGTACACGCACAATGTTTGGTGTGGTTGCAACGGCTCTTGACCTGAATTTCCAACAACTGCTGACACCGCTCTGACGATGATGGTGCGTGGTAGGTTATTCCATGGGACTGCCGTACGTGCCGCTGAATGAGAGCGGATGGATTGTGCAGGATGCGGTTGACCTGATTGAGTTTGTCAAGGGCAACACGAGCACGCCCTATGGAGAGATGCGTGCAGCCATGGGTCACCCGGCGCCCTTCTATCTCAACCGCCTGGAGGTGGGCAATGAGGAGCACTTGATGGATTCGGGCAGCTACCCGGGTCACTACAAGTTGATCACGGATGCCATTTGGGCCAAGTATCCCGACATGCAGGTGGTGGCTTCGGGCCGCTGGGGCGGTTTTAACGGCGACGGCAGCCCGGTATGTTTGTTGGGTCGTGATCTGCCGATGGGCATCGGTTACTCTCACACCGACGCGACGTGCGCGCGCGTAGTGCACCTCGGGCAATCCACCCATGCGCTGTGACATGTGGGATGACCATTACTATGAAGACCCGGACACGATGGCAGCCATGACGACGCAGTACGATGCTTATCCGCGTGACTTTCCCGACGTTTTTGTGGGCGAATACGCGGCGCGCGGCAACGGTCAGGAGCTGGCGTTGCAAAATGCCTTGGGTGAAGCGGCCTTTTTGCTGGGTGGGGAGGCCAACGGCGATAAGGTCAAGGCGACGAGCTTTGCGCCCCTCTTCGGCAACGTCTACTACCAGCAGTGGCTCTACAACCTGGTCAACTTCAATGGCAGCACCCATGTCAGTACTTGTGTTGTGACTTGCAAGTGCAGGAAGAGGCTTTGAGAGGCTTTAGGACGTTGAAGAAGGACACTGAATTGCGCATCTCACTCTTCGACTTGGTTTCTGGTTTGTTTGTTGTTTTGTTTTGGTTTTTGCTTTTTTGGATGTGCGCAGTTTGTGCTGCCATCTTATTATGTGCAGACAATGCTGCAGGCGGCACGGGGTACGGTGTACGTGTCGGAGATGTCGCTGACAGATGGCTCGAGCTTGACGCGGGTCGTGGCAAGCGTGCAAAACAACAACACGCTTCATGTCAAGCTGGTCAACTATGGCAGCCAGCCGCAGCCTGTAACGATTGTGGCGCCCACTTTGGGATTGCACGGCACTGCCAACATCACCACGCTGACCTCGACCACGGGCCCGTCGGCAGCCAATAGCCTCGATGAGCCCAACGCTGTCGTGCCCACCA